GCTAGCATTAGGCGGCTAGGCGCAATAAAGTGAGGAGAGGGGATAGCAGGAACATCTGTTGAACGTGCTGTTCAAGAAGTAAAAAAATATTGTGTTGCACAAATTCAGACCCAAAATTAGCATAAATTAATAACTATCTATATTTTAAATAAACAATTCTTACAATAATATTAAATAAACAACTCTTATAACATTTAATTATAGTATTTGATTCATAGTTTTCCGATATTATATACGATATATCAGATGTTATCGTTTTGGCACAATTTAAACGAATTATTGCATTCAAATGTGAATCTTTTAATTGTTCGCGTAATCACGATTTATTTAATTTCATAATAGAAAATAATTGTTCATATGAATATGTAGAATCGAACATACTCATTATTTTTGCAGCACGAGCATGTAGTTGAGGAAAACGTTCTTGAGATATATATGAATAAAATTGTACGATGTCAGTCATTGTATAAAAACGATTTTTAAGAATAGTGTCATATTTTAAATCTATTAATTCTAATTGTATATCTGCGGGAACAATATTAATATCAACAGTAAAAGGTATCATAAAAATAAGTAAGTCTTCTTCTAAAACATGCATTTTCCTAAACTGATAATCGAATTCATTATGTAATAATTGAAGTGAATTTATATATTCTTCTTATTGCTTATCTTGGTGTTCGAAAATACCCGAATGCCTTAATCTTCCTTGTAAGACATGCGATATTTATGAGTTCAAAAAAAGATAATTTTTATTTTACTTATGTTTTACAATAATTTTACAATAGTTCTTAGAGTATAATATTGAATATGCTATCTTAGAGAACTTCTATTCTAAGAACTATTGTAAAATTATTGTAAGACATAAATAAAATAAAAATTCTATCTTTTTTTGAACTCATAAACATCGCATGTCTTACAGGGAGGATTAAGGCATTTGGATGGTATTTTCGAATGCACACCAAGATAAGCAATATGAAGAAAATATTTATCTTAGAGCTGTGAGCCACACTGACAGCATAATGACTGATCCTTCCGAACTTTTCGTATTGTCTTATATAGGGCTTGAAAACAATTGAAAGTACAATACAAAGTTGAAATAGGTCTAAAGGTTTAGGGATAAGAGATAGAAGTCTTAGGTGTCCAGACTTTACATTAGGTTTAGGAATTTAGGGAGATAAGAGATAAAAGTCTTAGGTGTTCAAACCTTACATTCCGAAAGTCGTTCGAAAACACTTCAAAAGTTCTCGATGGGCTTTCGATCGTTGCGTTCAAAAACACTCAAACCATTTCGAAAGTGACTGTTTCTCCCTACTTCATCAAAGTAGGAAAAAGAATCTCAGGGAATCGATCATGTAACTTTTCCCCTAGGGCGTGAAAAGTGAAAAGTTTCACATGAACTTACGATCATATACGATTTTGCGGAATCATGTAACTCTCTCAAACATGAAAATGTAAAATTTTTCATGTGAACTTTTTCATGTACCTTGGTAGCGGAAAGGCGGAAATTATTAAAAGATGTATATAATACTGTATAAAATAATTTTCATTAGTTATAAAACCTATGAAACTATGTTTCATGATTTTACTTTCCACGCATCCAAGATACATATATAATCGCTGTACGTGAAAAGTTTCAAAATGTCAAGGTGTAAAAAATGAAAAGTAAAAAGTGAAAAATAAAAAGTGAAAAATTTCACATAAAGTTACATGATTAACCCCCAGATATAAATGTAAAAGCGGGAAAAAAAAGATGTCTAATATAGAAATTAATTTGTCGAGGCACTTATTGCTTATTAGGGACCAAATTACAAATGAAGCAATTATGCTGAATGAGTGTTTACTTTTATGGGATAAAATGGATAAGTATTTATTTGTGTATTCTGTACAAAATTTTATCAAAGTATGCATCCTAACTCTTCACACAGGTTACAGTATTATAGT